GAATTACATGGTGTCTCCATTTTTAATAAAATTAATCTTAAAAGTAGTTGTCATCAAATCCGAATGAGGAAAGGTGATGAGTGAAAAACTACGTTTAAGACCAAATATGGACTATATGAGTTGTTGGAATGCTATTTGGACTCACTAATGCACCGAGCACTTTTATGTGTTTAATGAATTATGTTTTGCATGCTTTTTATGAGATTGTTGTGGTTTATTGCAATAACAGTCTAGTGTATAGTAAAGACCTAAATGAGCATGTAGAGCATTTAAGAAGTGTGCTAGTGGTATTAAATAAAGAACAATTTTACGCTAATCTTAAGAAATGTACTTTTTGCATGGAAAAGATTGTATTTCTAGGTTTTGTGGTTAATGCTAACAGGTTAGAGGTAGATGAGGAGAAGATAAGAGTTATTAAAGATTGGCCTACACCTAAGAATATAACTGAAATAAAGAGTTTTCATGGTTTGGCTAGTTGTTATAGGCGATTTGTAAAAGATTTTAGCACAATCACCATACCACTCACTGAGGTAGTGAAAAAGAGCTTAGGTTTTCATTGGGGTGATGAATAGGAACATACATTTAACACTATAGAAGATAAATTATGTAAAGCATCTATTTTAGCATTACCTAATTTTGACAAGACGTTCGAGATTCAGTGTAATGACTCAGAAATAAAGATGGAGCAATATTGATGCAGGATATGAGGTTGATAACTTATTTTAGTGAAAAGCTGAGGGGAGTTTCTCTTAACTACCCTATTTTATGACAAGGGGCTGTATTCGCTAGTCTGAGCCTTAGAGACATAGCAGCATTATTGTGGGCTAAGGAGTTCATGATACGCACCTATCATGAGTCGTTGAAGCACTTGCAAGGTCAAGGGAAGTTGAACAAAAGGTATGCCAAATGGACAGAGTTTATTGAAACATTTCACTACATCATTTGGTACAAACAAGGTAAAGAAAATGTAGTGATAGATGCTTTATCGTGAAGGTATATCTTGATAAATTCACTAAGTGCTAAATTACTTGGCTTTGAACATATTAAGGAATTGTATGAAAATGATTTAGATTTTTCCAATGCTTATAAACCATGTGCAAAAAGGGCTATTGATAAGTTCTTTAGGCATGAAGGTTACATGTTTCTAGAAAATAAACTTTGCATTCCTAATTGTTCAATGCGGGATTTGCTAGTGAGAGAAGCACATAGCAATAGATTGATGGGGCATTTTGGGGTTCAAAAGACCTTAGATATGTTAGGAGGATATTTTTATTGGCCTAAGATGAAAAGTGACATTGAAAGGGTATGTAGTCAATGCATAAACTGTAAATGGACTAAGTCTAAGATTTTACCCAAGGGTTCTACACACCTTTACCAACTCCTAGTGAACCGTGGGTAGATATTTCTATGGATTTTGTTTTGGGTTTACCTAGGATTGGGAATGGATAAGATTTGATCTTTGTGGTGGTAGATAGGTTTAGCAAGATAGTGCATTTCATACCGTATCATAAAACTGACGACGCCACTCACATTCCTGACTTGTTCTTTAGAGAGATAGTGTGCTTACATGGGGTTCCTAAAAGTATCATGTCAGATAGGATGTAAATTGTTGTTTTCTACAACTTGTTATCCACAAACTGATGTGCAAACCGTGGTAGTCAATAGGACTATGACTCAATTATTGCACACAGTGATAAATAAAAATTTGAAAAGGTGGGAAAAGTGTTTGCATATAATCAAGTTATTCATTCTACTACTTCATTTTCACCTTTGAAATTATTTATGATTTTAATCCATTAACCCCATTGGATTTGATACCTTGAACTGTGAATGAACGTAGTAGTTTAGATGGTAAAAGGAAGACTAAATTGGTAAAATCACTCCATGAAAAAGTCAAGTTGCGGATCTAGAAAAAAAAAACTCAAGCAAATAATAACAGGAAAATCTTGACATTCGAACTAGGTGATTGGGTTTGGGTGCATTTCAGAAACGAGCGCTTTCTAGAGCAAAGGAAATCAAAGTTGCAACCATGGGGAGATTGATCATTTCAAGTTATCGAGAAGATCAACGATAATGCATACAAATTGGATCTCCCAGGTGAGTATAACGTTTTAGCTACATTTAATGTGTTTGGTCTCTCTCTCCCTCTCTCTCTCTCTCTTTGATGCAGGTACAGATTCGAGACAAATCCTTTTGAAGAGAGAGGGGATGATGTGATCAAAAAGTTGAGAGCAACAAAGATGAGTCCAGGATGAGATCTGTTGATTATTCAAGGTGGACCGATGAAGCTATCGAGGGTAAAACGGGTAAATCAAGCGATGAGACTATTACTTCAATCAACAATTGAGGACACAATGATCATGGTGAGATATGAGGCAAGTTCCATGTTGGGGTCCAAGGCCAGAAACAATTGAATCAACTCGATATGCGAGGATGAATATGTTGAGACTCAAGAGGTTAAAAAATTTGACTTTTGCGACCACACAAGATATTACCATGCATGGTACAAAAATAAAGACGGAATTTTCCTTTTTTAGTGAGTTTCCTTATTTTGTTAGAACTCTATATTTGGCAAAATTCTTGTAATCGTCTATTGATATTTTTCCATTTTTCATTAGATTTTAGGCTAGTCTAAATATGCTTCCATTCTTTTTCATTATACAACTTTAGACATTTTTATTCAATTGAATTGTGAGTCTTATTGCTTTCAAATCCATTGTTCTTCTTTTGAATAATTTCGAACTTATCAAGGTACAAATCTTGTGGTGTTCAAGCACTGGGTGCAATTCTTGGATTGTGTGATCAAGAGGTCTTTCAAACAACGTTTTGCAAATTGATTGGTTCATTAATTCTTGGGTTGAATCCACAAACTGGGGCTAATTGGCTTTCTTGGGTTATCTATTAATCTTGGGTGGTTTTTATGGCGTTCGTGCTACTTGGGTTCACATCAATTGGTATCAAAACACAGACTCCAATTTAATCGATGTTATATATTTCAATTTTCTTGTTGAGTCTTTTAAATTTATTTGTTTCCTATTTCTTTGCGTTGTGTTCTTCACGTCCTTCGTTATTTTTGAGTTTTTAATCCACAAAAGTGCCATTAAATTTTCAAAAGTTGTTTTTGGGCTGATTTAGCATCCAAATCAACTTTCGTCAATTGCATTGGTGTCGTCGTCGAATATCCTAGAAAAAAAAGAGGCGAAATTTTTTTTTAAAAAAAAAGAGCCGAAAAAATTGTTATTTCCATCCAACAATTTTTCATTGTTAATTCTTTTTGAGTCATTTATTTCCTTCTAGTCAATTCGAAGTATCGTTTCAATCAATTTTTGGTTTCATTAGTTACAATCAAGTTTTCAATTCCCATTGTTCAAATTCCTCATAAAATCACTACTCTTGATTACAGCCGGTTTGGAATCCACGAGGCTAATTCTTGTGAGTGCACTTTGTTCTTAGGAGCACTTAAACGAAAGCATTGATTGGAAAAAGGCGGAGTTGTGAGATCAATAGAGGGTAAAAGTCATATATTGTGTGATTCTGAGTGAAATGTAGGTGAGGTAGAAAATTTTTAGATTTAGGATATCTGACAGACAAGATTCCAATTCAAACCGAAACGACAATCACATTAATGCGTCGAACGAAATGATGAGGCAGTTTGAAAGGTAAGGCAGATATGAGAAATAGGTTAGATAGGCTTGATACATTGGTTACAAATCTTAGTAGAGGGCAATGGGGTAAAGCACCTCATGCTAGGAGGTTGGGTAGACAAGAGCCTAGGATGGAAAGGCGGGAGGCGTACGATTACGGTAGTGATTTGGATGAAGATGAGTATGAAGGAGTTGAGATGGGACGGATGCGGAAGAGAGGTGATAGGTTTGAATGATGTGTAGAAATAAATCGCAGCAGTGTGGTGAGTTTGGGGAGAGGTGGATTGAGCTGATTAATTTGACTTGTGGAACTTTAATTGATGTGCATGGCAGAGGCGTGCTTTCAGGGGAAGCAAGGAAATTGTTGAAGTTGATGACTGAACGTGGGATGTGACCGGATGGGTGACCGCGGGAATTATGGTTCAAATGTACAAAAAGGCTGGAGAGCTTAAGAAGGCCGACAAGTTTTTCAAGAAGTGGTCATTTACGTGTAAAGTGAAGGGTTGAAATGCTTAGGGTACAAAGGGATTCTGGGGAAAATGTTCGTTTGAGCACCTACACTTATTAACACCTTGATTGACACATATGGAAAAGCTGGGCAACTCGTCGAACTTTTGAAGAAATGATCGAAATGGGGATTGTGCCAACCACAGAGACTTTACCATAACATACCTGTATGGCAACAATAGCCAGCTAGATGAAAAAAATGGAAGAATTCAAATGCTCCCTTGACACATGAATCTGCAATATTCTCATATCCCTATACGCAAAGTACAATGATACAGAAATGGCTGCAAAGGATTGGAAGAATATGAAGTAAGCTTATCTTGAACCTGATGCTGTAAGTTACCGTACCCCCCTGTACGCATTCTCAATAAGGCATATGGTTGGTGAAGCAGAAGAGCTGATTTCAGAGATGTATGGAAGAGGATTGGAGATTGATGAATTTACCCGATCATCTATGACTAGAATGTATATACAGAAGTTGGGGATGTCGGAAAGCTCATGGTCATGGTTCGAGAGAGTTCTTCTTTAAGGGAATGAATTTCGAGTGTTACTCTGCCAACTTCGATGCTTTTCGGGAAAGAGGGCATATTTTGAAAGCAGAGAAAGTTTGTTTATGGTGCAAGTCTAAATGCTTTTGCTGATACTGGGAATGTAGAAGAAGCTACGGTTTATGTAAATAACACGAGAGACTTCATTCACTTAATTATCGGAATTCAGCCGATCAAGCTAACGGAACTGTTCATTTTGTAGACTTTAAGAATCAGAGTTTCCATGTAGTTTGATTTAAAAAAAAAAAAAAGAAGAAGAAGAAGAAGAAGAAAAAAGCTACATTTTGGACCAGCAACATAATTGAGAAAGAAAATAAATTAAAATTTATTCAACAAGGCACTAAACATAAAAAAAAGATTGCAATCTGCAATTTTTCAGATTTGTACATCTTCACTTCAATCATAAACCCAAAGCGACCCCAGTTTAATATACTTTTTCCTCCCCTGGACCCCACCCCACCCTACTCATTGGTTAAAATGAAACTTTCTTTCTTAATAGACTTTTAATCACGACCGTCAAAAAGTTCATCCGGGAAGAGGTTCATTGTGCCAGGATAGAACAATGTCATTTAGCCCTAGTTTCAGTTCCTCCCACTGCAAATCCCCGCCACCTCCACCACCAACCACCTTCACTTCCACCAACCATAACTCACGCGCCACCTCTAAAATTACCACCATCAACAAAACCCTCCCCTTCACCAACCCAATTCCCCCACCTTTCCCTCTCTCTATTCTGAACCCCAATTCTCCCCCAATCTTCACCACCTTTTCTTCAATTTCCTCCACCTGTGAAATTGAAGTAAATCTCATCTCTTTCCTATTCATTTCTAATTCAAAAAGCCCAGATAAATCCAATCCGGAAGACATCGAAATTATGTCAAAAGCATTGATTCTAGACAAGTACTTGCTTTGATCGGAAAATTGCTGCTCGTACGAAGCCAATGATTCTTGTGAAAACGATTTCTTGAACCAAGGAAGTTTGATTAACTCTTCGAGACTCAACCTGCTTTTGGGATTGGGATCCAATAACCGGAATATAATATTCTTGGCCGGTTTCGAAACCCACGGAGGAAATTCAAATACACGACGATGTATTGCACGGTACATGTTTGCTAAATTGCTGTCATCAAAGGGAATGCAGCCCACAAGAAATACGTACAAAAGAACTCCACATGACCATGCATCAGCCTTTGATCCATCATATCCTTTGCGATAGACTACTTCAGGCGCTGTGTATGCCGGTGTGCCGCAGGCTGTATATATTAGGCCGTCCAATTTTTGTTCCGGCAGGGCGGAGAGTCCGAAATCTGTGATTTTGAGGGACCCTTTATTGTCAAGGAGTAGATTTTGTGGCTTGATGTCGCGGTGGGCGATGCCGTTTTGGTGGCAGAAGAGGAGGGCGGAGACTATCTGGTGGAAGTAGCGGCGCGCCGTGGATTCAGAGAATCTGCGCTGGCGGCTGAGCTTGGCGAAGAGCTCGCCGCCGGTGGCGAGCTCCATAACAAGGTAGATTTTGGTTCTGGTGGCCATGACTTCGTGGAGTTTCAGGATGTTGGGGTGGTGGTCGAGGCGGCGCATGGCGGAGACTTCGCGAACTATGCGTGGCTCCATAGCGGCGTCCACGGTGGTGGCCTTGTCAATGACCTTGATGGCTACATCTGAATTGTCAACTAATAAGGTTGCCTGGTATACTTTTGCAAAGCTGCCACGGCCAAGTAGTCGGCCAAGTTGGTATTTTTCCAGTATGATTGAGCCACTACCCCTAGAGCTGGCAGTTCTCGTGATTTTGGTGGCGGAAGAGGGTGGTGGCGGGGATCTTTTGCGGTCCATGCCCCTGGCCGCTGTGGTGGTTCACAGTGGTTGGTGCGGGTAGGTCTGTCACAGTACAAAGGGGGTTTATGTGTGTGCTTATGTTACATTGACTTTATAGGGATGAAATTCTGTATGGGAACTAGGCTGGATCTAATTTGTCGTTTTGAAGCTCATAAATTTTATTATTTAATTCAATGGCTGTCATGTTTCTAACAATATTTTTTTGGATAGTTGACACAAAACGCCCATATTTTTAAAGTTTATTGTCAAAAACATTTTTGTCTTTCATTTTTTAACATTTTTATCCCTACCTTTCACATTTTTTTGCACAGAAGGTGCTTTTGAATATTTTACCCACCATTTAAATGAAACAAAAAGAAAAGAAAAGAAAAAATAAAGAATTAATTACAATAATAGTTCCACATTTTAAAAAAAATTATAAATCAGTCATGAGAAAACTTGAATGTATAGGGAAATAATCAAGAAATGAAGAAATTTTTTTTATCATAACTAATGAAAATGAAAAATTTTGAAGATTACGTGATTTTTGTCTCAAACCTTCCATCTATCTTCCCAAAATAAAAATTGAGATTTATGCTTGCCCACTTTTAAAGATTTTCAATTTCATTGGCTATGGTTCAAAAATTTACCTATTTCTTGATTATTTTTCTGTACATTCAAGCTTCTTTTTTTCTTTCTTTTTTTTATGTAATTTTAAAATTTTTCAGTTCACAATAAATTGTGACCGATTTGTAATTTTTTTGAAAATTTGGAACTATTATTGCAATTAGTTCTCTATTATTTTTATTTTTATTTTATTTGAATGGAGTGTAAAATCGTCAAAACAAATGATAAGGACTTTTTGCGCAAAGAAATGTAAATAGTAGGGGCAAAAATATCAAAAAATAAAATACTGGGACGTTTTTCACAATAAATTTGAAAGGTAGGAACGTTTTGTGCCAATTACCTTTTTTTTTCAACGCTGTTTTTACTTTTTAATGATAACTGGTAAACAGTGGCATGCCCAAAGATTAATTTTATTTAATTTAACTCAGCAATTAATTAGGTGGGGGTAGGCTAAAGATTAGAAGCGTCAACATGTCGGTATACACGTCCTTCATACAAGGGGGTCCACACTTTTTTATTGGGTGTGGGCCCCTCCCTCATGTGAGGGGACGTGTAACACTGGTGTACAAATAACAAAATTTTTAAAATTATCATTTATGTAAGCATTAAACAAGAAAAATGGATATTCTTCTAATTTTTACATGATTTTATTTAGAAGTAATAACATATGAAATTATTAAAGCCTTTGATAAAATTATTTCAATAAGTTATTTTTGGTCAATTGAATTCATAAACGAATCTGTGATGCTGTCAAGTATTAAAAATGAGATGCATGTCAACGGAAATGGGTTATGCTAAATAAAGAAAATGGCCATTTAGGTGGTCTATAGTAATACAAAACATGTCATAAAAAATCAAAAAGATCAATTTAACTATTAATTATCTAGCTGTTTCAATTTTTTTTCCTTTTTTTTCTTTATAAATAAATATAGCAATTGATATAGCAAATTGGTGAAAAATGATTTGCGTGACCAACCACAAATCGAATATATAGAATGTCATGAAAGTATTCACGCAATCAACTTGTCTATTGACTTGAACTTTAAATTAAAAAGATCGACATTTTTTAGATTATATATAGTACTCTCCTTAATTGTTCAAATTTGTATTTTCTAAAAGATAAGATCTTATTTTCAATAAATGAGTTAAATTATAAATAATTTAATATAAGTAATGCATAAGTAGACAATGAATTTTATGAAATATATAAATAAAAATGATTCGATCGTTTATAAACAAATTATAAACGGTTGCAAAACAAGGATTTAATTTCTATGAAATTATGGGAGCCCAAAAAGGAGAAGATTTTTCAAGTTTCTTGGAATATCAGTAAGAAAATTAGTTGATTACAGATGGAACATGCAATGATGCAAAACAGCATCCTTTCTTAAATAAAGAAATAATTAAGCCATCACCATTTGGAACAGCCATTCATTTGCAAATGCAACTCGTTTTCTTTGGTCACTTTCTTGGAACTTTATACACTTTAGTTTGAATACTATGTATTGATTATATTCAACAAAATAATTGACAAATATTTTCAGATGTGCATCTTTCTCTTATTATATATATATATATATATTTTTTTTTAATGTTAAGTCCATTGCATCAAATATAAACACGCGGTCAAGTCTAACATTTCATATATATGCAAAATGTTTATAGATTATTTATTACTCAAGTTGTGCTATTATTATATTCACACTAAAATTAGCACACTTTAAATGCATTATATTTCATTTCTTGTTCAAGTTATATAGTCTATTCAAGTTGGACTTGGCTTATACTCCGACGTGAATTTCTCAAACGTTTACAAAGTATATGTGATTAAGTTAATTGCTGATAAATAAACATAATATTACTTCATAATACTCGTGACTTATAAGGTTCGAGCTTTGGTAGCTCTCTTAATATATTTTTGAATGACTTAATTGATTAATAGTTTGTTTGAGTCTTGCGTTTTTAGGAAAATAAATTTTGTAATATCGATATTAGTTTCAACAAGTCATGATAAGCTAGCGATTTGAGCAGTAACAAAAGTATGTAGCACAATTTCTGATACTAAAGATCCTCTAGAGAGGCAATAGTAGAGCATATTTTTGTTATTACTCAAATTGCTATGTTATCACGACTTGTTAAAATTAATATCGGTATTTTGGATTCTAGTGAGAAACAGAGAGAATTTAGAACCTCATGATTTGAAGGAACTCAAGCTTTTATTTCTGAATTTTCGTTGATCCTCCAATGAAGGAGAGTAATCCCTTTTATAGGAGGAGGATCCTCTACAATCACATGGACTAGACGGATAAACGACTTTTAGACGTACAGGACTTGAGCACAATAATCACACTAGACGGACAAACGATTCTGCCCATCTTAAAAGTTGTGAATTTGGAATCTTACAGCTCCGAAATGGATGTGTGTATATCCTTCTGATAACCAGACATTTGGAAGATGGGATGAAATTTCCAAAATGACAAACTGTTCTTCTTCTGTGGCAGGAAGGAGGCGTTGATCTAGCTCAACGACCTCGATTCTTTTAGTTTCTTATGTATTGTCTTTAATGTGACTTAGCCATTTGATTGTGATTGGTCATGGTCAATCCGTTGGTTTAGAGTACAACCATGTGTCATGTAGGTGGACCAATTGGAAAATTTTTGTTAGATGCCATCCAATTTACATATTAGTTTCGTAATAGGACTTAATCGACTCCAACATATTTCACTTTAATCACTTAATTTACATTTTTGTATCAATTCTGTAAGTTTTTCGAGATTTGTAGATGTCTTTTTTATGACATTTTTAACCTAGATAAAAATAATTTTTAGGCATTATAATGAAAATAAAAGAGGATTATAATTCTTGTCCATGTTGATTCCCCCCAACCCCCCCCCCCAAAAAAAAAAAAAAAAAGAAGAGAGAGAACCATTCATATTAGTATGCCACAATGTAATTGAACATTTTTGTCATGTTTTATTTTTCGATTGTAATTAGTGTAGCATACTATAAAACTCTAAAGTTATTTAGATGTATATTTCTGGTTAAATTTTGTTAATAATAATTCATATAACAATCATATGATTTTATTTAAGAATATAACATATACAATTCTTAGACAAACCCTATTTAAATTGTTTAAATAAGTTATTTATTGTTATAAAAAATGAGGATAAATTAAAAGAACTCTGATTTTGGTGGTGGACACATGTTTTGCATAAACCTAACACAGGCAGACTCCCATTTTTAAGAGAAAAGACAACAATGCTAGAAATCCAATATGGTTTCTATAGTATTATAATTTAGTATCTAGTTATTTTAAACTTCTCATTGGATCTAGCAATATATTGAGTAAAAAAAATAATTCACATAGTTGACTACGAATAAAATTAAAAGTATTCATGAAATCGACAACAAATTTTTGAACAAAGATAAAATAAAATTGGAGACTCGAATAAAATTAACAACAAAATTATTGACATGTTAATTATGTGAAAAGATTAATTACTTTTGTCACCTTTTAAACGTAAGCCATTGATTACAGTCAATGAACCTCTCATTTCCTGTCTATTGACTAGAATTTTAAATTAAAAAGTTGTCATTTTTTATATATTTTAAGCCCCAAAAATCTTATAGTGGAAGATATTTCAAGTTTTTTAATGAATCCCACTAAGAAAGAGTTGATTACAGATGGAATATTCAAAGCATCCTTTCATCAATTAACAAAAGGCACCATTTGCAATTTGCACAAGCTTTGCAGTATATTTGGCAGTCTTTCATATGCAATGCAACTTGACCTCGTTTTCCTTGGGCAATTGGACCATTAGGTGTTTATTTTTATGTTAGGCAAGTAACTTTCTTGGTAGTTGGAACCATTAATATGTTTTGGTACGTTTGTTTGATTTGATTAAAGAATAATGCTATTTATAGTCGCTTTTTATTATAGTCGTCTTATGTGGCATACATATAGCAGTTAGTGATTTGATACATTAATGTGGTAGTTTTTTTAAAATCACTAATCATCACATATATGCCACTTAGAATGATTACGATAGTAAGTAATTGTAAATAACATTATTTTTGATTAAAATAAAATGTGATAATTGGTAAATAAATATCATTTGTTTCTTAATTTTATTAATACTTGTCGAGAATAAAAAGATAAATTGCTTTGGCATTTTTAATATTTATTATTTTAATTGTTTTTTATAATTTAGGTACCTTATTTTTTAATTTATATGTTATGCTAGAATTTTTATTATGATATTTTGAAATTTCTTTATAGCATAGAATTCGATTATAATGTGTAAGTAAGAGCACTCGGGTCTTTGGAAAAATAGCATTAAATGGATATTACTTGTGAATCAATTATAATGTTCAAATTCTCAATATTCTTCGTAAATAATAAGTCTTTAATGTTTAGTATTCACAAGTGAATCAACAACAATTAAAAGACTTGATGAATTCTACATTCTCACGCTTTCATAAGTGTTATGTTACATCATGTTTGATGTAGTCAAAATAGCCACGCA